ACATAATGAATTATATTTTTATCAATAACTATTATTAAGATTTAGACCTAGAAGTGAAGAAGAATTAAAAAGAAATTTTACAATATATCAAGAAAATTTTCTAAATAGATTTTCAGAAATATATCAAAATAAATAAATCTTATATAAGAAAAAATATTAAGAAGAAACTGATAATTTTAATAACCAATTTTTTGAACTTACTCATATATTCTTATAAAATCTAATGTATTTAACAAATTTATAATTTAAAGAAATAATCCATAACTAATTAATAAAAATGAAAATTATACTATTTAAGAACTTTATGTTCATTAAATAGAAAATATTATCTATATTTCTTTATAACAGGATTTGTTAAAACTGGAAAATTATATGTTACTCATTATCTATTACAAGAATTTTAAAAAAAAATGATCCTTATTTATTACTTGTACCAATTGGTATTACTACATAAAATATTAGAGTTTATATAATACATTTAGCCTTAAAAATTCATGCTAAAGAAGGTAATTTTTAAATATTAGCATTTAATGATAAATTATTTAAAGAAAATCTTAAAAAAATAAAAATTCTTATAATTGATGAAATATCAATAGTTTTATCTGAATTATTTAGCTATCTTTCAAATATATTTTCTAAATTATATAATAATTCACAACCATTTGGAGGAATAAGTATTATAATCTTAGGAAATCTTATTAATTACCACTAGTAAATAAAGATCTTGTATTTTATTCATCTATATGGCAATTATTTTATCTACTTTTCTTAAGACAAATAAAAAGACAAATAGATGATTTTCAATATTATTCACTATTAGAAAATATTAGATTGGAAACATTTCAGAATCAACATGGCAATTATTAAATAAAAAATACCAAGAAAGTTCGAATAATTCATCATTAGAAGATATATTAAATACAACTTATATTGTAAGTTATAAAAAGACAGCTAAACAAATTAATACTCAAATTTGTAATACTTTACCAATTGAAAATGAAAAATATTTAATTTCATATTCAAAGAATATCATTAATGAAGAAGTACAAGAACATAAAAGTTTAGAACACTTAATAAAATATAAAACAAACTTATTATCTTTTATAAGATTGCAAATAGAATGTTGAATAATATTTCTTAATAACAAATATATTAGTAAACAAATTTATAATGGTACTATTGGTATTGTTATAGATATTGATAAAATAGAGAAATAGTAAGAGTAACATTTTGTATAAATAAAGAAATTATTAATATTGAAATAGAATAAGAAACTGCATATTTTAATATTAATGAAATACCAGCATGTAGAATTCAATTTCCATTACAAAATGTTTTTGCCTTAACAATTCATAAAATACAAGTGATAATATTATTACAGATCTTACTTTATTTAAATAATCAAATATTCACATGAGGATAATCATATGTAGCTTTAAGTAGATGTAAATCTTGAAATGATATTAAAATTTTAGCTCTTATACCTGATGCATTTTTAGTTAATAAAAGAATAAAAAAAGAATACATTAGGCTAAAAAAATTATCAGAAACTAGATTACCTATTTAAATCTAAATATTAATAAAATTATTTTTATTAAAATATAAAATAAAATAGATGGGTAACGTAATCACTCACAATAAAAATCAAATCCTAGTTTTGATTTGAATCTTAGTTTTAATTAGATAAAATTGAAAATATTACAAATAAGATATATATATATTATTTAATTAGATTTATATTAAATAAAAATGATCTTATAATTTATTAAATTAAAAATTATATTTTAAAAAAATTTAAGATTTAATTGAGAAATTATATATTTTTTAATAAATAAAAAATATAATTTTAGCAAAATTTTGATAATTTAATTTAAATTTAAAATAAAATAATTTAAATCAAATTATTAATTAAAAAAATTATAGTTTTATAAATATAGTACTTATTTGCTATTATTATTGACTGAAATATAAGTATAAGATACTTTTATTCTAATTATAAATTATACATATAATATTTATTCTATACTATAGTTAATTATTGCTAATTATTATTGCTAAAAAAAATTTTAACTCTTTTAAAATACTTATTTTCTAGTAAATATTATATAATAAGAATATCAGTATTTTTATAATTATAAAAAATTTTGAATCTTTAACTAATATTTAATATAAATTGAATCTTATACTTAAAAAAAATATGTAAAAATAAAGTATTTAAAATCCTATTTTAAGATAAAAAAAATTAAAATAAAATATATAAAATTAAAAAGAAAATTATAATTAAATTAATAAATAAAATGATAAATTTAAATATAAATAAGATAAAATAAATTAAAATATATTTACCATATACCACTGCATATAGTATCTAGAGTATTAATCAAAAATGTGATTTTTCAAATTATATAAATACTAAATAAGAAATCAGATACTATTTTAAAGAGAATATAATATATGAGAGATATTGTATCTAAAAATTACAATTATACAACTTTAATAAATAAATATCAAAAAAAAAATTAAATTTATTTTTTTTTACTAATCACTTCTCATTATATATATAATCTTTTTTAATTCATACTTTATAAATATTAAAGAAAATTTAATACTTTTTCTCCTTTTATATAAAAATTATAGAAAATATTCAAGTAATAGGAAAAGTTAATATTGAAGATACTATATAAAATAATGTTATATCTAAGTATTAATCAATTTTTACAAAGTTTAAATTTGAAAAGTATTTGATTACTATTTGTGATTAGATCAACATGAATAATAAATAGTATTCAGATATTAATCATGAGAGTATTATTTTTAGGGAGATACTATATACAATAGTATATAGTATATAAAAAAATAAAATTAAATAGTGATTGTTATTTATACCTTTTACTTTTACAATTATTTTGCTTTATTATTTATAGCTTAACTATATTATTAATTCAAAAAAAAAATTAAAAAAAATTAAAATTCGTATTTTTTATTATATTAATATTTGAAAGATAATCAGTAAAAAAAAGAAAAATCTACTTTTAATCAAAAATTATTTTATTATTTATTCTAACAATTATGTGAAAAAATTAGCTTAATGACTAAAATAACTCAAAATTTGTAGATTTTCACTTTTTTTATTGATTATCTCCTATTTATATTAAAAGATTAAGTATTAATTTTTCATCAAAAGGAATATTTTGATTTTATAATGCTAATAAATATCCTTAAATCTACTAATGTAAATAAATATTACTAAGATTTAGATCCTAGTTTATTAATCATTATTAAGAGAATTTAATTTTTATTTTATTTAAAAATCTATATAATCATTATATTATTTTTATTTTTCATTTATATAATATATTTATTTAATCATAATTTATTATTTATTTATTATATATTTTTCTTATTATAATTTTTAAAAACAATTAAAAAGAATATTTAAATAGAATAAATAATTATTTAATCAATAAGTTATTTAAGATACAATAATATAATGAAATATAATTAATATGATTTAATAAATAATATAATATTTATTAAAAAGATATAGTTAGAATAAGATTTATTAAATAATATAGCTAGATAGATAAATGTAAAAAATTGAGAAATTTAAGAATTTTAAAGTGAAGTATAAAGAAAGAAAAAAAATTAAAATAAAAGAAGAAATATAAAAATGAAAAAAAAAAGGAAAGAAAATAAATAGATAAAATAAAAATAGTTTAAAATAAGTAAAATAAATAATTTTAGTATTATTAACTTAAGATTTGAATTATTTTTATCTTTAATCATAACTTTAATAATAAATATATTTAATTAATATTCATCAAATTTATTAATATAATAAAATAATAAATTTATCTTAATTCTTAATAAATTTATTATTTTATATATTATTATTTAATGTTATTTAGAACAAAATATATTTTTTTATGTGTAAAACTAAATTTGATAATATTATGATTAAATGCAAATTCTGGCAAAAATCTTTATAATTTTGTTTAAAGATCGCTCTTGATAAATGCAGTTAGTCCATTTGATGATCATTTATCAGTTTATCATAATGTCAGTTTGTCAAGATATCAGTTTGTTAAGATGCCAGTTTGTATGATGTTAGTTTATCAAAACACCAGTTTGTCACAATGCCAATTTGTCAAGATACCAGTTTGGCTTAATTAATAATCTTTTATAAATACAAGTTGAAAATCTTAAAACAGCTTAATATCCATACTCTACCTTTAATACATTTCTTTAACAATTATTCTCTTTGCTATATTCCCTTTACACCTTCGCAATAATTTTAATTTTCACCCTTTTAATTTTATAATTTCACATTTTGTAACACAGTTATTGTTTTAATTTCTGATTTTATTAGTAGTTTATTATACAATTTTTATGTAACAGTTTCGTAATTGCGTAGTTTTAATTAATTAGAACTTAGAAATTAGCATTTATTTAGTTTAATATATTGAAAAAGCAAATTATAGAGCACTAACGTTGAGGTAACACTGATAAATTTGACATATTAAATAAATACTTGTAATAATTACTTCATTTCTATTCAATAATTATTCAATAAAACCTTCTGCTTACATTTACAAATTATTTATAAATATATAAATGAAAGAACTGAATATAATACATGGTACCTTCTGCTAGAATTCCTAAAAAACAATAAAACTTATATGTTTAACATCCATTTCAAAAGAAATAATACACATAAATGTCTTCATCAAAAATTATGCTAAAGAGATATTGCAACTTATCATTAAGATTCTTCTATAAAGATTTTTATCCTGTTAAAAACTTACTAACAAATTGATTCAGAAACTTTTGAAATTAGTATTCAACTGAATATCTAACAAAAAAGTTTTTCTAAAATTACTTAGTGTCTCTTTAAGAAACCTTTGAACATCCAGAAAGGAGAGGAAATCTGGGAAATAAATTTTTAACCTAATATTTAGTATAAGTTATATGCAACCTCTAAAGGAATCATTTACAATAATATGACAAATGATATATGTATCTTCATCCTTGCTAAAGAGATAATTAAAAAACCTTTTGATAATCCCTATTACAACCAAAATATTGTTGCATTAGTATCATTTAATAAGAAAAATACATTAGATCCTGTTGATTTAATTAACACTAACGATCAGGGCAACTTACTTTTTAGCAATGAACTGATAAATTTAGTAGAATTATTTCAAAAAGAGAATACAATAGCAGCCCAAGCAGTGGATCTATAAAATTTGATTGTGACATTGTAAGCATTGCAAGGAGTTTACAACTTCTGAAACAACTAAATATTAATAATGCTCTTGTGAAATTACAGGTTCAAATGCAAGCTAGTACAAATGTATTAGTAAACCTTCTAATAAGAGAAGTAAGGGTCATAGATATCTTAATTTATTATAGAAGAAATTAGAACCCACTAGGGTGGTTAAAAGAATTTACTAGAGCCTGTGATGCAAACGGAATTACCAATCTAAGTAAATTAGAAGTCGTTCTAGGTTACCTGAAAGGATCAGCATCAACATGATAGACAGCTAATCAAGTCCAAGCAATAGAACATGCAAACTGGATTATTACCTAAACAGGAAATGGAAATAACACTGATTTTGTTGTCAACTTTTTACAGTATTTCAGTCTCAAACACTGGTGGAGATTTAGATCATAAAGATAAAATAAAGACATCAATGGCCTAATGAATCTATCAATACCTACATATATGCTCTTTAAGAACTATACCGAAGGATTAAAACTCCAGCTTTTATTTATCCAGCTGTAATAAAAGCAAGAAGATAGTTAATAGTCTTCTGCCTGAATTACATTTAATGATGAAATTCCATAATGACTAAACCTAGAATGCTACGCTTAATAGAGTAAAAGCATATGAATTTACCTATCAGAACTAGAATGCAGTAGCAGTATATATGAATAAGTATAGAGCTATCACACTGGCTACTCAAATAAATGCTTTTAATGAAGCTATACTCAACTTGTCACAACAGATTTAGCAAATGAATATTTGAAAAAGAACTTACCAGATGATGGCATTTAATGATCAATAAACTATCAACTGAATATATTTTCAACTGCAGTACCTCAACAAAGCAATCTAATTTGTTATCTATGTAATCAGCTAGGATATATTAAAAGAAATTATTCTAATAACTTTAATAATAAACAGCCACCACCGTTCAATCAGGTATCACCACAAATTCCACAAATGAATATTCTGAATTCACCTAGAGTAAATCTAATACTAGCTAATAATGTTGTTATGACTATAAGTAATAACTTTCAGGATTTGCAATTGTTATAGCAGTTATTACAACTTGTACTTAACAATGCTCAAGAGTAGCATTTAAACTAGAGAGTATACTACCAGAGGATGATGGTATAGAACCAATAACAATTTTCTCAAACATATCTGTATTTAAAGCTTATTTTACAATTAGAATACACTGTAAGATCACTTTAGAAATGCCGTATGAATAAAATGAGAAAGATGCTGATAAAAAAAATGAAAATGATGAAGAAGTAATCCAACAATTAACTAGCCAGACAAAAAACAAATAACCTGCTATTAAAACAAAAGTTAAATAAAAACTATCACAAGCACTACCTATTAACAGTATGGTTAATTCTTATATGCTGTAATAATTCTTTGATTAACCAGCGAACATTACTAATAGACAGTTAATAGCAATAAACCTGAAATTTGATTAAGTAGTAATGAAGGCAATTTGAAAGCTGGTAGCCAAGAAATCAAAAGAGTACATTATAGTAGAAGAAAAGGATGAACATATAAACTCTCACTTGTTAAATAATGAAGGAGCTAAAAAAGCTACAGTTCTATATTGCAATGCATACATAAAAGAAATAAAAATTCTACTTATTGTTGATTCTGGCTTCACTGAATGCATAATTTTCCTAAAGTTGCTTAAGGATTTAGATATGAAAATTATATGAGCATCTAAAACTATAATGGTTAATATTAATAGAAGAAAAAAAAGACCACTAGGAGCAGTGACTGAAATTCCTTTAAAGATTACTGATCATGTGATTCCTTTTGATACTGTTATAACTGAAGCTGACTCTTATGCTACTATTGTTGAAAATGATTAGTTAAAAGAAGCTCAGACCATAATTTATTACAGTAAAGGACATATAACGTTATACTAAAATAAACAGGATATTTACTGTACTAATGGAATATCATCAAATGCCTTATAATTATATTATCAAAAAATCTAATAATAAAGAAGCTGATGAGACTGAAATGGAATATATTATTGATGATAGTGAAGACAATAATAAAGAATATAAAGAAGAAGCTAACCTACAGGAATAAGTTTATTATTTTAATCAATATATAAATGCTGAAAAAGTCAAATGAATTGAACAAAAATTTACTGATTAAATAAATGAAGATCTTCTCTTTAGAGAATCCTATTACCAATATAAAGAAGTGGAAAAAGGAAAATTCCACATTGAAGATTTAAATAAAAAATAAAAAAAAATGATTTTGATGATTTTATACACAATTATAAAGATTTATTTGCTTGAAATTCAAACGAATTTGAAAGAATATTTGTTATAATGCATACAATTGACACTGGTATTACTGTGCTAATTAAACAAAAATTTTATCAGACCTTATATTAAAACCAGAATTTTATAAAGGAAAAAATACGATGATTATTAAAAAATGGATTAATTAAGCCATCTAATAGTTAATAGACCTCTCCAGTGGTTATAGTAAAAAAGAAGAATAAAAAGAAAAGATTGCGTATAAACTATTAAAAGATAAATAGTATAATAAAGAAGATTGTTATTCTTTACCAAAAATAGACAATATGCTAGAAATGCTATTATGATCCTCTTGATTCTTTTTACTAGATTTTGCAAGTGGATTTTGGCAAGTTGAATTGGTTTCTAAGAATAGGGAAAAAATGACATTCATAACAAGATTTGATAACTACGAATTTACCATTATACTATTTGGATTATGTAATACGTCTGCTACTTTTTAATATCTAATGGATACAATCCTAAGAGAAATCTTATGATAATATGTTATTGTATATGTAGATAATATTAATATTAGCTCAAAAACTTTTGAGAAACATTTTTTACATCTGTAACAAGTCTTTTTACAGTTGAAAGATGCAGGATTGAAACTTAACCCTAAAAATATTTCTTTTTCAAATGAAAGCTACCTTTTCTTAGGTATATTATAAGTGAAGAAAGCATTTAGATGGATCCTGAAAAATTAAGAATCAATAAAGAATTTTACTAATCCAAGAAGCTAAAACAATTAAGAGGTTTTATCACTTTAGCCTCATATTATCAAAAATTTGTTAAAAGATTCTCAACCCTTGCTGAACCTTTATACTGGCTATTAAAGAAAAATATTCTCTATCAATGGATAAGTGACCAATAATAAGCATTTAAAAGACTTAAACTATATTTAGTAATACTTCTAATCCTGGCATATCTTAATTTTAAAAAACCCTTTATCTTGTTTACTAATGCTTCTATATTTGCTCTAAATGCAATTTAGCACAAAAGAAAATAATAACTTAGAATAAGTTATCGCATATACTAGTAGAATACTTAACAAACATGAGCGAAACTATACCATTACAGAGTAAAATATCTTACTATTATATAGATAATTAGATACTTTCACTACAATCTACATATAAAGCTCTGAACAGTTTGGATTAATCTGAAAATTTTCAGTTCAGATCAACTTCGATTCAGTTTCAGATTGCAAAATATTCAATCCGAAAATTTTTGGTTTGGTTCAGATTTTTTTCAGATTATAAATCTAATCTGAACCGAAAAAAATTTGAACCGAACCAAAAATTTCAGATTAATCTGAAATTTCAGATCGTTTGGATCGATTAAATTATCATTTCAAAAGAACAATAAAAGAATCGTTCGATTGGAACGATTAAATTATTGTTTCAAAAGAATGATAAAATAATCGTTCATTTGGAATAATTGAAGTTATCATTCCAAACAAACGATAAAAGAATCATTTGATTGGAACAATCAAATTATCGTTCCAAACGAACGATAAAAGAATCGTTCGATTGGAATGATCAAATTATCATTCCAAATGAATGATAAGAAAATCGTTCGATTGGAATGACCAAATTATCATTTCAAATGAACGATAAGAAAATCGTTCGATTGGAACGATCAAATTATTGTTCTAAATAAACAATAAAAGAATCGTTCAATTAGAATGATCAAATTATCGTTTCAAATGAACGATAAAAGAATCGTTCAATTAGAATGATCCGAAATTTTAGATTAATCCAAAATTTTCAGTTTAGTTCAGATTTTATCAGTTTATGGTTCAGTTCAGTTTCGGATTGGTATTTTTAAGATTTATAATTTGAACTGAACCGAACTGAAATTTTTGGTTCAGTTTTGGATTGGCCTATAATCTGGACTGAACTGAACCATTCAGAGCATTATTTACATAGTTAGAAATTTGTTGTTGTAACAGACCATTCTACCTTAGTGTATTTGAAAAATAATATAAACCCCATTGGCAAACTTGAAAAATGGATAATAACTTTAAACTTCTTTGACTTTAATATTATAAATTGACCTAGAAAATAACACTCTAATATAAATATATTAAGCTGGATAAAGTATTAACAAGAAATAATATTAGAAAGAAATTTTATATACTTTTGCAATACCTTTTTACAGATAACGGATTTTTGACTATAGATCTAACCATGTATTACCTCTTTACATAATTTTAACGAACTTATCAATGCTAACCCATCTTATTAAGGAACAACAAATAAGTATAAAAAGAAAGGCTCGATACTTTATTATTATAGAAGGACAATTATATAAAAAAAATAGAAAGAATCTAAATAGACCTTTCAAAGTAGTAAAGAAAAATGAAATAGATACTATATTATATAATTTACATTCAGATCTGTTAGCTGGATATTTTGCATTAGAAGAAATATTTAGAAGAATAAATATTAGATATTACTGGCTACAAATATATGAAAACATAAGAAGATATATACAAACCTGTGATGAATGCTAAAGTAGAGGCAAAAATAAAAGAATAGAGCTTCTACATCCTATTAAAGTAGGATAATCCTTTAACAGGATCAGAGTGGATATCTTTAAACCATTACTAAGGACTCAAAATGAAAATGCATATATTGTTATAACAACTGAATATCTTACTAAACAG